TTTCGATCTCGTGAATTACGGGATCCAACCCCGTAATTTATGCTCCCTTTCTCGTCATTTACGACATCTCAATTACGTAAAATCTGTCATTGGGATCGTAAATGCGAAACTTGTAATCCACCATATGTGTCCTCGAGTTTACGGGACCGATCGCCTAATTTACCACATAAAAATCGTAATTTACGCCATTTCTGGGCGTGATTTCCGTGGGTTTAGCCCGTAATTTACGTTTCCAAAACCGTAATGTAATATCAGAATTTAATATGAACATTCAATCTGTACTTCTTTAGTGCAGATGCTTTTTATTTCATCCGCGTCCTTGAGATATAAATATAAATATATATGTGTGGTACCCTAATTGCGCGATCGAAACTGCTGGTTTTTATATATTTTTTACGACAACATCGATAACATGTGGCTGGAGGAATTGAATGAGTTTAAACTTGACTGGAATTTTATATGATAATACCGATTTTCGAAGTTTATTAAAAAAAAATCTTTCAAACTGCCATGACGAGTTGTAAAAGAACGAACCATTGGAATACACAACAAATTTATTCGCGGGAGTATAATACACGATGACAAATTGTTGAGGGAAAATATGCCCATAAAAAAAGAAAATAAACCCATCGCATGATCGATATTATCTGGCTAAACGAAAAATTATGCTCAACTGGGTATCGCTGTTGAAGGACCACGGGTATGGTTGCCGCCTTTCTCGATCGATTCCCTCCCCTGGCCCGTCTATTATTCTTACAATGTTTATTACGTAATTCAACGATAGCGATCGTGCACAGCGTAATTTTTCCGCTGCAACTTGCGCGTCATGACTGAGAACCGGTCAGAAATAGGGGAGGTTAAAGGGGAAGAGAGAAGAGGCTTCATGGAAACATTATCCTGCACGCATACATAGAGTCGATAAATTGTAATGGAGAATTTTCATTGCAATCGATATATTGTCGCTGGGAATAGAAACACGGAAATGAATAGAAAATACTTTTTGGTGTTGTAGACTAAAATTGCTTCACATGCATGTATCACATGCAAAATTATTATCTCTTGGATTGATAACTGTAATGATCCCCTCATGGAATGTGATGTGTAAATCATTTCCAATTAACACAATATTTATAATTATTCATGTGGATCGAGCCATTCATTCATTAAGGTTAAAATGCCATTATCAACTGATCCCTTCAAGGGATAAAATTACTCACTTTGTATTCTTTTTTTTCAATTTCCAGATTTACGCAACGGCACGCGGCTGGCATTCATAAATCCGCGGGTTATTTTCCACTTGTCCCCCACTCAATTTTATTGTTAATACCTGTTATTTACGGTATTAGTTATCTAATTAATTGAATTTCCGAGAAATATACATGGGGGACTTGTATAATATTTATGTAGATTAGCGGCCAATCGATAGAATGTGATTGAGGGAGGAAATAAACACAATGGTGTCAGGAGCGGGGAGGAGTACAGACCGTCAGGAAGGCTCGTTGCACCTCGTGTTACGAAGATGGACCTTGGAGATAACGTTTTATTTCATGCCAAGGCTCCTGCCGTCCGGCCCAAACCCCGGGACATTGCACAGAGTCACGAATGAGGGGATGCAGAGGGGATATAATTGAAAATCGATATTTGCACGAGGTTTTCCACCATGTATACAGGCTACTGTATGCCATTTGCCCCCTTTCCACCTTATCACCCCCTTCCTCATCCCTCACACTTGTTTCTTCTTGCAATGCGCCCCCTCACGACATTGCGAAGTCCGTCCGATTCGGATCTACCCCACGTGTCCGTACAACCTCCGTGTCGAGCCAAAGTACCGTGCATCACGAATGTTTAGTGCCGATACCAGGCAGAGAGAGAGAGAGAGACAGCCAAATCTTACACGTGCTACTGTACACAGTGAACGTAACTTTCGTGACAAACATTTCCAGAAGCTCTCTGATCTTTCGCAGTTCTTTCCCTAGTTCCATTTGAATAATCGTATCCTTTTGGTTATTTGCTTTCCAAATTTTTTCGTCCTCGGTGAATTTATTGAATGGGAATTGGTGGTCGTTGCAATGAATGAGAAGACCATTTTTTTCAGTTGAACTAGTCAAAACGTTACATTTTCTCCTTGGGTTTCCCTTATATTTTTATTCATTTCATTGAGAAGAGATGGAAAGTATTGGTGGGAAAGAGGTGGTGGGATGAATCGTGAAAAGATCTAGAAATAAATTTATAGCACCAAAATTTTGGTTTATCCAAAGTTTTATCAATTACATATGTTGTTAATTATCATGAATTATTTTTATCAGTGGCATGAGCAACATTTTGGAATTAGAATTGGCGAATTTCGTAGGAAAGAACACTCGTGTAATACTTACCGACCTATTAATGCAAATGTGGACGAAATAGTTCCCGTCAACGTGTGTATGGTGACAGCAATCGTGATGATGACAGCCATTTGGATGGAGAGGTTCGTATTATACAGAGGAGAATTTGACGAATGACTTTCGAGCATTGTTCCGGAATTCAACCGGTCAAGGTATGGAGATTTAACGCGAGGGTACTTCAGGCAGTCGACCGATAGGATAGGATACTTGAAACCGACTGGCAGAATCCTCCTGTCCTCTGGAGGGTTAGACCAGTGTGTATTTGAGAGCACAGATGATTCGATCACTTTGATTCTGATGAATAGGTGCTCTTATCTGTAATGGGAATAGACGCTTGAAATATCTATTAATTGGATCAACAAAATATCTCAATTTGCGAATGTGAATAGCTTTGACAATGCAAAAACATGTGGATATGTACTATAGAATATACAAATTATTTACAAATTATTATTTCAAGTATTCAAGGAAATACTTTACTTGCTGTACTTTTGTGAAAAACCTGGAGCTGTTAAGTATATCAAGGACGATTTTTTCCTTGAATCGTTGAATTTTTATGTTGTATACTATATTTTTGTTTTGTTTTCATTCAACTTTTGGTTTTCAACTCGTCTATTTCTGTCTTCAAACCTTCCAACTTCAAGATTCAATATTCATCATCACTCAGCACGTTACAAACTTTAATACTTGCATTGCTTTTTTGAAGGACAAACCAGTCAATTTAAAGGTACGTACTTGTCGCAGTGTTTTATATGATTATTCCTTGGGAATAAAATGGTCATTCATCCTATTCTATATATATACCGGAAGTGAAAGGAATATGTAAAATAATCACAATTGCAGAGTTAAAAATCGATCAATTGTTCATACTTTCTGATGAGAAGTGAAAATATTGTAAGTTATTCAAAGTTATTCAAATTTTCGCTCGATATTAAAATGATTTTAATAACGTAACGGCAAGTAGACATGAAAGGATGAAAGTCAACACTTGCGCTTTTCGTTTGTGTGAGTTAGAAGTGGATTGAGAATAACTTGGTGTGACAGCAAAGACCGCCACGATATTTCTCGCTATTTGAATTCACACCACTTCGGACGCTTGAATGTCGAGCCAGTGGAATATTAAAAAGAGTTCGTCACTTTGAGATTTATCTTTCGTGGCCCCTTCCATGATACTTTAGAGATTGCAATAACATAGCCCTCTATTGCGGGATTTGCTGAGCAACGGGGTGATATTAGAGATTCTCATATAAGTCCAAGAAATCAGACCTCTTAAAAATAGAAAAGATCACCCTTATATTGATCGCGGAGTAAGTTTAACTAATCAAATATTTTAATTGATCAGCTGCTGTCGAACATTTAGAGATGTCTTTTGAAGCCGAATTTAAATAGCGACGAGGGAAAATCGACGACATGATAATCAATATCTCTGCCACAGTAAAAATAGAGTAGAATCCTGATGATTAAATAAACCACGTTTCCCTCTTAACGTGAAGAACCGAACGAATTTCAATAAATTAATCACATTGACTATATTAGTTAACGTCTAGTCGTCTTGCTTATAATTAATGGACAAAATTCGACTGGAGTGATTAGTACACATTGTTCCAAGATTGTTACAATTAATGGTACTTACGGAGGTATTTAATTCGTAGTGATCTGCACCAACGTATGTACAATACTAAAATATGAGCAGTGTTCCACATTCATATAGCCGTAACATCAGGTGGGATGAATACTCCTAACCTCATGAGAGTGCCATCTGGTAGAGTACCATTTACGGTATGTTCGAATGGATGAACCATGTATATGCCACCCTAATATCAATTTTGTCACCTAGTTAGAGCCCTTAGAGCATGCCCATCTGGAGTGTGTAGATCTCGTCGGTTGGTGGTTACATACTTACGCCCCCCTCAATCATTCCGCCAGTGTACGTACGATGGAACAATAGCATGGGTTCTCAAGGGTGTTAAATCGTAAATGGTTTTACAGTTGGACTGGTAATGTAAAAGTCAAAGAAGAGGATATCACTTCGGAGGGATCACCGTTCCATTCATCGGCTGGTCTAGTAATCCTTAATTTTTAAGATATCGACGTTTTGGTCCTTAAAAATACTATTGATGTTAATGTAAATAAATTTTTTATCTTATCAATTGTGATTTAAATTGGGCATAATGTTATCAATATTATAGAGATTTTATGGAAAACGTTTACATTTTACGATATGGCTAGTCTTTTTGAGACCGTAACGCCTGTCATGGCAGCGCAGGTTATCATTTTCACATACTCGATCGTAGAAGATTGACTTTTATGATTCATCAGTACTGATCTCCATTGCCTAGATTATGATATGCCTGAACGTCACTGTTAATTCCCTGTGGCGGTGGACGGCCGTGATGGTTATGGTGAAAGCCTTTCTGGATAGTCTCTGTATATCAAATCTGCTATTGGTTAAGCCGTAGATATTCTCCTGTGCAGGATCGCTATCGATACTCTACCGTCTGATTGCCACTAAGCTGATCCGATGCTAGGGAACACTGCCAATGATTTTCAGGAGATGAGATGAGAAATTTCTAGTGTTTTTAATTAAATATTCATTTTATTATCTAGATACGCGAATTATGTACATTAGGCCATACACATAAATATATAATATATTTTTTTTGAACACCTTTCAAAGGATAACAGAGCCGAGCGTATTCTCTAAGTCAACTATATCCTTTTTACTTCTAATCCCTCACTCTTCGAAATTTCAGTTTTAACGGAGAATTATCGAATTATCCATTCTTCGTCATGTTTGAAGACAATTCTTTTTACATATTTTCATTAATTCAAATTCACCTTCATTCAATTTACAGATGGATTGTGATTTTCGCCTAGTTCGAATACATTATACGCACTGCTCTTCAGGGAAATACATTAAGCGTTATGAACAACGTATTGAATTTACGGGATTGCACACCGATAAGTTATGCCTTCGTTTCGGGTGTCTACTTAAGACGAACATATGTCATTGATATAATAAATGGATTATTATGAGTTACGAAATCCATATACGCTCTTAAATTTCTATGACTTGAAAATCAATAAGATTTTACACCGCTCTTTTCTGTGGAAAGCAAAATGCACCGTGGAGGTGCAACGTTACTCACCTTGTCGCAAACGTACGTCGTTGTTTTCAAATGGCTTAGTCAACGGGCTTTCACCACTTCCTCTGCTTTCTAAATTTCTTGTGCCTGTATTTGTCAATGAGTTAAGGGAATTGAAACATGATGAAGACATTCAATGAAAATGTAAAATTTACTCCATTTTTCATTGCGGAGACATTTTTTTTCCCGATGATCTACTTAGCACGTACCTTCCGTATTTAATAATTCAATCACTCAAATCCTCAATTTGTGGCGTGCTCGGAAATTCCAACATGCCGTGCTAACAATTTTCATAATTTTTTACTGACGTCATCAATCGTTGCGATATGTACAAAAAACAGTTTACATTAACTTCAGTTAGTTTCAACGCGAATTCTCAACAAACATCAAATCCGTAGCCGTAAAATTTGAATTGAACCTCCAACGTTGCCGTTGAATAGCTAGCTGATGATAACCATCAACATCATTTTGCTATAACACACAGCCTAGTTACTCGTGATTGTACGTCCATCGTAATTAAGCGGTTAAGTATTTCTGGGCTTCTTATTAATTAGCTTGTACCAATTAAAACTTATAATTGGAACGAAAGCTTAGTGGAAAGTAACAGAGGGCGTGGTGGATTCGAAGATCAACAAAATTACTTCGTTGTCTTGATATACGTCAACAATACTAAAGAGGCAAACTATTTGAATTTCGATATGGAGTTGAGAGCATGAAAATAGGTGACCTTCGATTGAATCTGATTAGCGATTATTTCCCAAGTGATGGCATTATTTTTCGTTTCATCTTCATTCAGAAAGATACAGTTTGGAAATTTACTGTCTGCGTGAAATTGCTATGTACATAAAATATGAAAGAGTTGTCATGAAATATAATAACTTGGCGATTTAATTCGTGTATCAATCAGCGGTACACTTCACTTCACTGGTTTTGTACGGGCCCGGGGGATGCGAACAATCAGCGTACAACCCGTAATCATGAACAAAGCACACACACACAGTTTGTTATACTATATAACAATTTTCAATTTATTTGGATTATCCTAATTTCAATTTTCCTAACTATTTCACTCAGCAAATAAAATTATTCATTCACATCTACTCAGTTCAGAAATAATGCTCACGATTGTCTGCACCCATTACTCTGTCAATAATTTCTCTAGTGCGAATGTGGAACTGGTGATGCATCCATTCGAATTTAACCCATTGTGAGGATCCTCCGAGTGATGAGGGCCGCCATTAACAGTGGAAGACATGGACTGGATAAACTCCCGCGGCCTTGGACTGAAATCGAAAAAAAAACATTGATAATATAATAATAAACGAAGTGGTGCAGCGTATGGAATAAATGAGTACTAATCCAGAAAAGAAAATGAGAGGAAGTATGAGGTTTTGACTGAGACAGAGTCGGAAAGTAAAATTGGCCTGCGCTCCGTTGATTTTAATTTCAACTCTAATTGGCTCGTCTCGTTGAACAAGTAATTATTCTCCCGTTCTACTTAACCACGCGAATAATATCTATACCCATAGCGCATTATAAACTATGAGTTTCAGCAGTTGGAGGAGATTCGAGTATTTCACGGAGAAGTCAAGTTGGATGGGAATTAATTTTTCATTCAATTTTTCAATCTGTTAAGGATTCTAAGGAAATCCCTTAGCGACATCGAAACCGTGAGTACGTAAGGCTAGAATGACAGACCTCCCAGTCCCTGTGTTTCTTTCTCCAGTTTTTCATTTATTTTTTTTTTCTTGGTTATTTTTGGTTATCGTGAATTTTTCGGTCGGCTAAAAGGAAAAGGAGATCTTTTTTGGAAACATTTTTTGGGGAAGTCTTGCGAAAAATAATGCGGATCCGTTTTCCATATTTCTTTACCAAGGATAAAGCCGCGAGGGGTTCTTTGGGGTAATTAGGGAAAATTCAAATTTGAATCAGGTGATACTTGGTCCACGTCTAATTATCATGCGCGAACCACTTGTTGGAAGAGTCGTTTGTTGTCCACCAGTGGAGACTCGTCATGGAGGTGTTCAAGCGTCAGAATGATTGATATGTAACATATATTTCAACATCTATTTTTTTTTCAATGTGGGAGGGAGGTAAAATCAGAGAAAAATTGTCTGCGGAAATAATCTCTATTGAGTTACCATTCATGTATGATCGTGATGATTTTGCCAGGGTATTTGGATCACTGGAAAATTGGCCATTTCAAAATATAATCGGACACAGATTGCCAGGGGTAGACCAAGAATTGAATCCAGCTAGCGGGAGAAGTTTACTGCCTTGCAACATGTAACACATCACGAAATCCTCATCCTCATTGGTCCGGAAACGATTATTTGGTATTTCAGGGCAGGTTCGAACATTTCGTTCTCGCTCTATGTTCATAGATCTGTTCTATTGCTTAACGTTACGGCTGTCAGTAAACTCAGTATGCAAATAAAATCTAACAATACCAGTCAGAATGAAAGTACGGAAGATCAGTGGTGTTGGACTTAAAAATCCACGCAGTGAATGGAATTTACACGGGACAATTGTTTACGGTTGCTGGTGTAATGTCGGCCAACTCTCACGGCCGACAGTTAATTTAAGTCGCAATTAGACGGTAAGTTACGGACACTTCGCTTCTCCCTCTTGGTGGACTTTCTACGGATATATACAACGGAAAACGGACAAAGGTTCACGGGTTGCGCCATTGTAACTTATTGTTTTAATTTCTTGGCGGATGGTATAAAGTCTGGTGAGACGCAATGCCAGACTAATTTTATGGACTTGTGAATCCACGAGGTTTGAGGGTAGCTCTTTTGAGAGCCTTTTTCATTTTTCCATTTTACGAATTATTCAGAGAACAATAACTGCTGTCACGGGTAATTATTATTAATATCAGGATAAAATCGGACTACAGTAGTGCGGAGGTACATATTTTTCAATGATTCACTGAATCGGTGGATGCCGATCTCCTTTTTATCCATGATTGGGACTCATTGCGTATACAGAGTTTCTAGAAATAAGAGATGCTATTTCGATTGATCAGTGACTAATAGCGAATATCATTATGAGTCCTCCGTTACGGATCGGAATCATTAGAAGTAAATAATTGTTATGTTTGGTACCTAGTACGGTTAATTGATAATCCCATTACTGTATCGGGAGCGGTAAACGTCGAGTAAATTGAATTTACAGTCAACGATCGGTGAGCTTAAATGAATTCAAGCCATTTCAACCGCCGGTACGTTAATTAGAGAATCGCAGCACTTAATGAGAAAGAGCTCAATAAATTCATTTATATAACAATGTTCCATATTTGTTAAACATTATCTTACCGAAAACGTGAGTTTGCCGCAAATCCTGTAGATGTTCGGTGGCACGTTCACTCGTTTCTACGAGTGATTCGCACCTCAAAGCAGAAAAATAGGGCATACATTAATTTTAGCTCTAATAATATGACATGGGATTGAAGAATTATCTACAATAGCTGTTCAAAAATTTGGGAAATATATATATAATATTGCTTTGATATTATTTACTTTCTTTTATCGGTCTCTCTCAATTTATCGGGATAAATAAAAAATTTATCTCTAAAACCATTCATTGGATTTTCACTTTCTATTCTTCAGAGATAAAGTGATTATTCTAACCAGATTAGAATATACACTTGCAAGAGGCGCCCAAGAAATCGTAGACTGTCGGGACATAAATATTAAATGCCTTTGCACGTCCATTTAACACTGACGTTTTCAATAGGTAAATAAATTAATACTATCGACTACCTTACGTCAATTCGTCCTTCAGTCAAGTGATCCGGTCCTATTTCGAGACGCAAGCTCGAAATTGTAGAAACTAAATCTCTCTGTGTTACCATCATCTCTGATACTGATTTAACCTGAAATCGACAAAACCACATTCATTCGTGTACTCGTAATTAGCCTGGACTCTGGGAAATTTCACTGAATTTGAGATTGACATTTCTGTTCTATCATGTTAACAAGAATAAGAATGGTCAAATTGAAATGAGAATTGAAAGTAAAAATGGGTATATTTCAAGCTGATCAGTATGATTGAGGATATCCAATAGGATAACTCAGACAAGTTGGATAAAAAATCGATGAGGCTGGAGTTCAGCTGTACTGAATTAGCAAGAATTTAATTGAGGCTTTGCTTCATCAACTCAATGTCGATACTCCACCTACGTTCACATTCAACGATCCTCATCCTCACCACCAAACTTCGTGAGCAATCACTGTAACCGACAACTCGTTTTCCACATTGTTTTCATTAAACAAAAATTAACTACCGTATTAGAAATGCAGCATTAATTAATAATAGTGCAGTGTAATAATTCATAAATGAATTGAAATTATGGGACAGGATAAAAAATCAATTGAACCTTTATTCCATTGATGAACCAGGTGATACGTGCTGGTGGAAATGACCAGCTGCTTGTGCAGTTGAGAGCAAGAATATCACCGGTGGCATAAACTTTTTCTTCACTGGTGATCATAGGTTCGCCGTTAGGTAATGCTGTAAAGAGCAATTCCAAGAGTTCAAGCAAAATTTTTGCCTATTTATGGACGTTTACCGCCCTCTTTTTCCAAATATCAAGATTTACATTGCTAACGAGAACCTGAACTCATACTCACTCTAATTCTTCATCATTCGTTCCATATCAAGTGCTGCGTACTCAACTCAAATCACGTTCCGTTGAAAGTATGTTCTCAATTAAACTACAGAGTGGCAGTATTTGACGCAATAATTGCAGGAGACAAGAATTTTATGAAATTCGAAATATTTCGTACTTTACTAAATAACTCAGCTTAAAAATGGTTTGGAGTAGGCCAAGGTGATGCAATTATGTCCATTGAATTTGTAATGGGAAAGTACATGTTATCCGGTGAACGATAATCTCCTGGGTGTCGGTTTAAACAGGAGATTTTAAGTGTTGCAAGTATGACAAAACCATCGTCACATCTACGTCTGGTAAATGTTCGGTACGCGTTCGGACGTTACGGGACCTGAGACTTACGACGTCGTAATATTTATCGCGTTTCGACGTCTTTATAACCAGCCCTAAACTTTAACGACGAGAGAGATGGATGTTTTTGAAGAGTTCTTCCCTAAATATTCTTGTCTTGGGCTCTCGCATTTGTCGTGTCAATGTATATGCGCATATACATCACAGTAACCAGGAAAATACACTGAATATAGCGACATGTGGATGGCTTTCCCATAAACACGTAGGCGGTTCCATCGTGGTTACAGTATAGAAATAAAATAGGAAGAGCAATTCCCTGTGTCATCCCCAAAGAATAACACAACCTCTGTTTTCTGCGTTAGTGGGATAAAAACGCGAATACAAGTAGCTGAATTCTCCACGATGATAAGGCCTTCGACAAAATGCCATCGATTTATCCCGGCAACCTTCCATTCCTTCCAGAACGATAGTTGTTCATTGGTAAGTGATAAGGCTTGATATTTTAAATGCTTTTTTCATGCTGTCTCTCTTTCATTCTTACAAGGAACTAGTTTCGGTGTGTTTAACTCACCGATTACCTCCATGTAGCCTTTCCCTTTAACTGATAAAAAACTTGGTGCTTCTGCGCTGACTTCGCATTTATACAGGCCTGCTGAGTCCAATGTCACATGCTTAAGTATCACCTTCTGACTGTTGGAGTTATGGTGCTGTAATAAATGCAGATGGATAAAAAAGCAAATTGAGAAATACTAGGGAATGAAATGAAGTATTTAGATGACAGGGTTTGGAGATAATTGAAAAATTTTTATAAAAATTGTAGAACTGGAACAAGAATTTTTACCACGAATTAAGCACAATCCTAGTTATGAAGATGAAGTGTACTTTTCTTTAAGAGGCAATTAGTACGAACATCAAATAAATCCTGCTCGGCTGTTTACTAAATCGTTGGCGGACATTCTGGGACCGATAAATACTCTCGAGATTTACTCGATAAATTTCAGGAGTTGAGTTTGACCGTGGTAAGGGAAGTTTCAAATGGGTAAGTGAAATATCTAGCCTTGGGACAACTCAGAGCAGTTTGGCAGCGCCAGCTGATTAAAATATTAAACTTTAATCAAGTATAATGGAACGTCTAGCGTTTTCAACATTTTTTGTTCGATTTATAAAATTGTGAAGAATGGAATTAGACATGGGATAGGCATTCATGGCTATATATGTCACTTTGTACGGAACTAAATCGTGTCTTAATATTAATTATTACATGAAGATATCTAAAATGACACATTGAATTATTATGTGTTCCACGATTTTCCATTATTATTGCTGTATGTACATGTATATTGAATAAAAGTTGTATCTTATTCTGATTTTTCACGATGATTTCCACTTCTCAGTTGGATTTGACGGAGGCCAAGAAATGGTGAGGCCGTTTGTAAGTAGCTTGGCCAAATCTACAGGGAGACGTGACGTAGAGAGTACAGACGGCAAGATGAGGGTATGAAGAATCGTGAAGTGTGGCAGTGGGAGGGTAAAAATCCTGAGGCGGGATGTAGAAAAGAGAGTGCGAGTTTATTTTTATTGCCGCTTTGAATATGCGTCTATGGGCAAACCCTCCAAGAATAAATTGAAATATTTTATGCAGACGAGCTGCCTTGAGCATAAGAGTATTCTCTGTTACGTTAGACTTGTGTAAATGGAGATAGTACTGACGGGTTATTGGGGGGAAGGGGTAAGGCAAACGAGTGAGACTATTGAAGGAGTTCTGGGACCTCTTGGGTCGGAGTAAAAAGGCCTTTCTATGCTTTCTGCACTGCTCTGTGTCGATAACAAAGTGAAAGAATTGAGCCGACAATTTTCTTCCTATTGAAAACTCGATTTCATGAAATTCGATGGTCTAGAAGTTTCTTAGATATCATTTCTAGAAAATTGAGGGAACGAAGGAGATAAGTCAATTATTAATAAGAAGACGGAGGATACGATGATTGGTAAAATGCAACACAAATCAGAATCCGCTTTTCTGATTACAGAGAAGACATTCAATTTTTATATATGCTTGGTCATTAAAAAATATGTTTAAAAACATTTAATTTATATATGAGACAATATCAATAGCGTCTTTTTTTTTTGTAAAGATAGGGTTTCTCTGCAATTTCTTGAGGAGCACATGATTATTTTAAGGATACGAATGAAGATTGAATTACTATTTTCTAAAACTTACATCGACTTCGATTCCTTCCACCTGATAGCTGTGTTGGCTTCTATCTGAGCTCGGCACGTATTTGTAAAATTCCTCATTGTCTTTGTACCACGATACTGAGTACAATTTTTCAGATTCCAAATCATAGCTGAAACAAAAATAGTACGTGTACGTGATGAGCTGAATAAGGAAAAAAATTTGATTCCTTCATATGATAGGATAGCAATTAGAAATTTATTCAATTATTGAATATTTCTTATTCCAATTTTTTCATGCATATTCATCATTTCTTCGAATATCTTCATCGATATGGATTTCCCATAAACATCGAAGAATGTGAGCATCCATAATGACGGATAAGTGATAATCAATGAATTTTTATGTGTAGATCCAAATACTCGAAGTTCGTGAAACTAGTAAAATTTCATGAAATTCCGGTTGATGTTGAAGACAAACTTTTCCAACTATAAATCGGGGTTAAGGGTAGCCCAGATTACCAGATAATTTATTCATCAAATTAGTTGAAACGCTCTGCCTCTATAACGACGAGAGTTGCATGGAATTCGATATAGATAGTGAAGGACATGTTACAAGATCAATTTAAATCTATCACCTGTCACTTTATTTCTCCCCAGTAGTTCAAAGAGGCATTATGATTCATGGCGGAAGGTATAAACATCAGTGTAACATTGGATAATGCACATGACGCAATGCTCAATGTTGTGCTATCATCATTGAACATACAAATACGGATGCGATGATGTACAATCCCATTGCCATAGTCACTACTATGTTTATCTAGTTGCTCAGACTAGTGACTTTATAATTGCCTGTTGCTGACATTGCGTGGCAATTCCGTTTTCTCTCCGGGACTGGGAGTGGAGTTTGACAAGTACACTCAAACCTTTGGTATGGTAGTCGGTACTGAACAATTTCATGCATCGTATCGAGGGATTGATTTGCATCCACCCGCTCATTTAGCGAGGTCGAGTCCTTTGGGATCAAGCGGTTTCGTGAGAACAGTATCCTCGTTCAACGAGGCCTACATTCGACCTGGGAATTTCCTCCGCAATGCACGCCTCACCTTGTCCAAAGCGACAATTCCCCTCGCTCACTAGTCAGCAATTCGGTGCAAACCGTTACAGTTGTAAACTATCATTGTTTTACATTTGGTAAAAATCAATCGGGTGTCGTTAGAAAAAATGAGAACCTTCACTTGGCAACAATGCAAAGTCTTACAAGAAATAAGGTAGTATTGGTCAGGCTTTAGTCGGACTGCAGTCTATTTTTTGCTGAATCGTTACAATAATCTTAAGACACTAATGGTGATAATTCAAGAAGTTTCAGGGAATTTCTAGTGTCTATTTTTTATTTTTATTTTCTTGCAAATTTCCTGGAGCTCTCGGCACCATCACAGGGTTTTATGTCAGATGAGCTAATACTGGTATATGAGGCCGTGGAGAGAGCATTGTCTTCCATTTCTCGCTGGAGTTTTATCTTGATTTCTCCGGGAAAATGCTGAGAATTCACGTGCATAATACATATATTCAGGAATTATTGATGAAAATAAAATTAATTTAATGGAATATTTGTGATAATTCCTTTAGCATGTTCCACTTAGCGAACAGCACTTGAGAAATTACTCAAATTGGTCAATTCGTTGGTAAATATTTAACGAAAGTCGATTAAATTTTCATAACTGTAATCAGCGATTGTATTATTTATGAGAGAAGAATACCTGTTTGGTGTGGAAAATCACAAAAGTATCCGTGAAAGGTGGATTGGTATCCATAGCACTCACGAGGATAAAATTATACGTCAGCTTCGTTCGGAATAAACCACAGGCAACCCTTGGGATGTGTGAAAGTGGTGATGCTGGCCATCTCGTTGAATGGCTAGTGGGATGAATTAAATGCCTAGTAGTCATGCACGAGCTGTGGGCAGCACTAACGGAGGATGCATAACTAGATGATAAACTAATGAGCAATTCATACGACCCCTACGACTGTTTTCCCCCGCCCCAAAACCTTCTCAACACCACGATCATTTCATCTCCACCCCCTTAGGATGTCTCGCGTGCTGGTTGTGTTAGAAAATGCCACACGAAATTATGTTTGCGAGATGACGAAGTACGAATCCCCCAACTCAATTATACTTTATCTGTAAAAGAAAAAAATCATTCCCCATGTGCAATAAAGTTTTAATTTAATTGGCTAGAATCAGTCTCCAGAGGCTTATAATTACATTTATTTGTCATTCATATGAACGGAAAAGTAAATTAATTACAAGTCGAGTTACAAATTGTGTCAGACCATTTTTTAAAGTAATGAGAAAAGGGAGTGATTACTACCGGATGTTCAGGGCACGACTTCATTGGAAAATTGAAGAGTTTTTTATTTTCACCCCACCTTGTATATAAGAACGTGTAATTCTGAGTTTTCGGTCGTGTACAAAGTGCTGACGGCTGCAATGGATAAAATCTTGGCACGTATACTGTTGAGGCTATGTGAGTGGGCTGGAGGCATATGAACTCAATCTACACAATGGAAATTGCGTGAACTATTCAAGTAAATCAAGTAGATAATGGCAGTCTTATCAAATTAAACTAGTATGATGTTCGTACTGTTAGTATTAAATTGAGACAGCATCTATTTCCAAGTCTATTTGAAAATATAATTGAGAAAGAATATAGAATCTGCCAGTGAAAATATATTTCTTGCCCATTGTTCAGTACCGATAATTGGCACAAAAATTCAATAGCAAACTCGGGATGGACCTGTAAATTTAATTGCACTTTATTGGTACGACTATTTGCATTAGTTGTCAGGACAAGTAATAACGAGATGCATTCATCCCCAGAACAGTTTCATTAATTTTCAATGGAGAAAAATGTCTCTTCTTGCAGTTAGAGAAAGAAAGACAAGTGAAGTGTGAAGAAAACCGAAGAAAAGAGGATTACCAGTGAAGAGGAAAAAATTGGTTGTGTAATAAGCTTATTAGCGAGGGAGAAGTACGAAAAAATAATGGGTGATTAGTAAAAAAAAGTGGTGAACCTAGAGAGGATCAATGATCCATCCTGTACAGGGAAGAATTCCGAAAGAAGATGAGGGCAGTGGGAAAGAGGAGCATGAAAAGAGCGTCAATATAGAGTGAGGGAGGAAGGAGACAACGTCAGTGGTTATGGTTGCAAACATCCCAGAGGAGAAATCCAGGATAACTGCCACCTAATGCGAGTGGTCGTCGACGGCATACGAAGACCCACGGGTAAAGCTCCGGAAAGCTTGAAGCTTGCTTGAGGATTTTCAGAGGGACTCGTTGGACGAATGAGTGCGACAAAGTTAGCTTGATGTGACAGAGAGGGTTAACATGGACGAGTGAACGAGGAGTTGCGGTTGATGGTTAGTATCCGTGGAACGGTGCCGGAGGTGGTATCGGGCAAACTTGAGGCACTCGAAAGGGACTGAGGGGAGGATAGATACTGCCAGGTGAGGTCCCTATCAGAGGGAACGTACCCCATTGCGCTAACTCCATTAGCTCAAGCCAAGAGACGCTAGTGGAATTTGTAAAATGTACGAGTTCACGGTGATATGTCGAACTATCATGTATATCTTCACCGGTTCGTTCACCCATACCAAATTCACTCTCCCCAGCTGCTCACCGAGAAGTTTCTCTTCAGTCATTTCAATATATGCACTTTGTTAGTACACTGGAGTAGATACACCCTGCCGGTTCCCTAGAGAGATATTCTCTCTACCTGATGTTGATGAGTGTCAGCCTAGACGGATGTTGGATGTTTATATACGTTCACTTTATGGAGGATACAGACTCCTTGATATTTTTGCCGTAATGTCGTTTCTCCCAACCGGCTGTACAACTTCTCTCATTACAATCTTCAAGGCTGTAAGCCACGGTGAGATTTCAATTATTTTTTCCTTCCATGTTTTTCTATCTCTCCATAAATTATCTCATGGTTGAAAGGCGCTGCAGTTCTTATTTTATGAATATCTTTGTGCTGACTTGAACTGTCTTGCCCTCTATTCCTCAGCTTCAGAATGAAAAATTTTGATGTTTTTATCCTGCTGTATCATTGTGATCTCGAAGGATGTGGCGGTTGGAGAGGGGATAGGGGTCACTGGGTGGTGATATAGTGCACGAATAAGGGGATGAAGAAAGTTATTTCTTCTGATTCTTACGGGCCGTCGGAGAAACGTGCTAACGCTGCACGGTAAAAACGACTCCATGGTTTAGTTGGCATTATGAGTTTAAGACGATGAAACGCCATCGTAAGGGGAGATGAAAATAGAGAGGGATTTAAAGGAATGAAAATGAGAGAGTAGTGTGCAAAAATGTGGTTGAATCTGATTGGAGTGGGATTTTCCGTACGAATCGTCGCAACGATGAAAATTCATGCAAAAGTTATAACCACTTTAACGCAACTGCTCCGGAATTTATTAATGTGCTATCCTGACCAACTCCTTCTGACTTCATGAAGTGACACCCCATTCGTTTATTTTCTTTTAATTTTCCTGGTTAAACTCTCTCAGGTCTGGTTGTAGAAGCAGTGGCCTTACCCTCTCATCATTTTTCATTTGACTTCACTTCATCTTGCCATCAAGTCATGTCATGATGTGAGAATGAGAAACCGTGAATGATAGATAGAGTAGAATACGTAATATAGTCAACCGAGGATTGAGATAAAATTTATGATGATGGCCATTCAATTCACAGAATTCGTCTGGAAATTGTTTCAATATTCTCTTATATATTCAGTAGTAATGAGAAGAGGAAATATCGAAGTACTGATTTCGAACGAACGAACGAAAGAAGTCAATTAATGATTTTGTCCAATATCCAATAGTCGATTCATATTTGATACATGTAAGGTACCGTTGCTGCTCTTCACACTGAGGACTCCCACAGACCCCTCTCCGATGGTTAACAGTTACTTGAATTACTAGTTGTTCAATTCAACGTGTTGTACTTAGTACCGAGCCAGTATATACAGAGCACCTACCAGTTGTAGGTACGAGCACCGCAGGCGCATTTGAATTACCATATCGCACTGCAGCTATTGAATTCTACTATCATCAAGGCAATTTCAGTTAGCTGAGCAGCGAGAGGTTATGTCTTCACCAGATTTCCATGAATTTGCAAAACTTCATTGACCCTTATAACAATCTTACCGTATATATTCTCATGTAGAAAGTGAACATTGTACTCTATTTGTATCTTAGCATCCATGAAAAGTGTACTGCCAAGTGATTTCCAGTAAACCAGAAAATTGAAATATTAATAATTGAGTGGTTATTCTCGGTTGGGCTTGAAGCTCTTTTCCTCTCTCCTACTACACCGATAGTTCAATCTTCCTCTCTTTCGCCTAAGGACCTTCACACTGCGTACATCGCAATATACATGTACAAAAGGCACTTGTATGACTCACCTGCACACCAGACGCGCATTCTCCCCTCTGAATGTGTACGGTGGAATACTGATAGAGAGCAACTTCAATCCATTCACTGAAACATAAACGTTATATTGCAACGGTTATTCAAGGATTAACGAAAAAGACACCCAGAGTTCAATGAAGCGAGTATTGATTTGCGATATTTGGGATGGAGAGCTATTATCTCGATTTAATTAATCAAAATTTTTTAGAAAAAAAGGTTATGGAATCGACATGGATCATATCTGTTTGATGCTGAATGACGCGCTTGCAGTAAGGTATTCAGAATTGTTGTTCATTCTTTTTACCTCCTCTGTGCGCCATTTGACCTAATTTTTAATAGTGTTAGATAATTGAAGATTCCCTTGTCTCTATCTTTGAACAATCACCCACTGCGATTGAATGCAGTACTGTGATGTGACCCTTGACCCTTTTGAAGCAACAAAGGAGTCATTGAGAGGAGGCTCAGTCCCTCGGCATTGCATGACCACTCGACCTCTTCGCTGGTCACGCCAAATCCCTAACAATCTCTTTTATCAATAAGGAGCTCAACGATTGATGCTGCTTTACTGCCATACTACGTATTTTACTTCTATGGCAAAATTAAAAACATTAACAATTTTGGTGAGCTATCAAAAAATCATGCATGCATAGTTGAATCTTTTACATTTATTATGGACTAGGAAATGTTCAAGTATATTGCCAGTTCTTCGTTCTAACTTGAAAAAGCGCAGGGTTAGTCGCGAAAACTTTTCCTGGGGAATTTCTCATTCGTGTAACGTTTTAACGTCTGGAACACCAATATAGGTTGCAAAATTTACGCTACTGCTGGGTTACCTCGATACCTGCCGGGCTGATAAATTATACCAAAGAATTATCGATCCGGTTTCCCGACAGTCTTGCTTCCTTGCGCTTTGACGTGTCTGACTATATACGTGGGGTTTCTACTTCGTAGGCCTTGTAGCTGTCACACCATGGATTTTTATCAATATGCAATACTGTTTATGCAATTTTCTTCACAATCAACTTGGGCATTTTTTTAACTGCCCTGTTATGAAGGACTTCACTTTAATTACAGCTGGAAATAAAAATAGAACGCTCAGCGAAGCTTATTGGCTTTCACTGTGAAAAATTAATTTATCGATAATTATGTATTTTGGTGACTTCGCATTGTCACATTAAACGGGGTGATTTGAGCGATACCACTTTGACGTTTAATTTGATAGCAAGCTGAATCCACAAATGGCGTTACATCAATAGTTATCAACAATTTCATTGGCGCCGAAGAAACCCGATAATATACATAATTCTCCGATTCACTTGTGATTACCGGATGTGGAAGTAATGCACGGAATTTAAGTGCTGGTGTCATATTTTTGTGTAGGATATTCAGATAAAAATTACGGAGCGCTCGAAAAATTTCGCAATTCTTTTCGTGAAATTTTGCAGAAAACTTATGGTAACAAACAAATAGGACATTTTTGGACAGGACAGTTTCGCAAGAAAGTAAGCGATTGCTATGGATTTTTACTGGACCTCTAGTATGACCTGCGAACCACCGAACATTCATGAAATTTTTATTGGATTTTCTTTCTTCGTGTAGTTAATTTTTTGTTTGTAGATGCACCAATAGCAGCATATGAATGCACCATGACTAGCGAGTTAACGTACTCCATAAAATTTTACCGTGGTTCCGGGAAATACAGAATACCAATAGACAGAGGCAAGAAAGGGTTAGAACAGAAAAACGAATATATGGACGGTTATCAAAAATATTGTAAAACTACCGACAGTTGGATGAGATGAGAAGCATAATCGGTGATTTTAGAATGCAGCTAGTGTCCTTACTATTGCCTTATCATAAAAAAAAACCTATACAAATATGTATGAGACAAAGAGAAAAAAATGGTAGGTACTTTCTTCATTTTCAAAAAGATAACTTTTGGAAAATCATTGAACTTTTTCAATAAGTTCCAGCCGAGCATGATGTAATGCTTCAAGTTGGTAATAGTTGAAAAATTCACTGGCATAAAAGAATATTCAAATTTCAGTTGAACTAAAGCGATCATAAATTGCTGCGAAAAGAGCCAACTTACCCCGGGTAAAAGTTTAGGACGATATGGAGGTAAACGTAGGCCGCGTACAGAGAAAATGGGTGTAAGAGCAAGAGGATAGGGTCGAGTGGTAAGGTATTTATAATTTATGTACTTGGTACTTGGCGTCGCAACAGTGGCAGTACGAGCTTTTTCATATGTAAGGTATAATAAGGTAGATTGGTCCAGCATTTGGGTGAAAAGAGATAAGACAGAAGACAAACAATACTGAATTTGTCTTTAATTAATAACGATGACGTGGTCGAGTGGTCTGGAGAGCTCAGGGTAAACAGGGGTGTGTCGGTGGATGGAAGGGAGGAAAGAGAAGAGTGAAGAATACATGGGATGAGAATGAGTGAGACAGTTGCCTGTCACTTCATAATTAACACCTATTTCCCCTTTCGTCCTTTCGTTACCGGTGTATGTCGCGCGCCTAATTGCCACAGACCAGAGGTGCCAGAACAGCCAACGTCACCAGTAAAGCCCGGAAGGCTCCTCGGTCACGCGCTGCTCAAGCAGCTACCTCAAATAATTTTGTGGTCTATGGGCATGACGCCGTCATCGTTCCAAACTGCCCCCGCTTTTTCATAAACTCCCAATATATTCATTTAGTCATTTTTACATTTATCCATTCTCCTCAGTTAATATAATTTCATTTATAAATTACTGAATTTTTAAAATAACATACACAATACGTATCTTCCAGGTTAGTCAAGTCATCTTCATTTACACGTAATATTTTATTGAATTCGTTCTTTACCCAATGACTAATGTAGATGTCAGAATTGAATAACGCGTTCACGTGGATACATCATTTCGATTGTGGGTCGATCGATAGGAAAAATCGAGAGAAAAACTAATTGTCGTTGATCTAATGCAGATTAAAATGGATATATGGGACAGTGTGTCACGGTGAAATACAAATGGCCCAGTCGCCTCTTCCTACCGACCCCTCGCTATCCCTGACGTTGTAGTACAGAGCGTTTGAGCGGTTGTCCTATACCTAAAACGGGATTACGTTCGTAAATCTTTGCACGCAGCGAACTACAAGCAGAACGAATCGATGGTTCTACTTCACCAAACCCCTTTATTCTAGTGCCCCGTAACCGGGTCTTCATTCGTTTTTTACTCCTTCCCTGGATTGTTCAGACGAATAAATATAGAAGACATCTGTTTTTTTAGTTTTCTGAGATTTAATTCGACCTGACCTATCGGTTAACCATTACCTCAAAGTTCACGGATTTCCCGACTCAGTATATTTCCATCATTCCGTTGATTTTTACATGTTATTCAGGTGTACTATTTCGGATGTGCTAATTTCGTTTCATGTTTTCTGCTTATCTGAGGTGGATTCTCACCACTGATTATGGAAATGATCATGGAAAGAGCTTCCAGAAACGTATCACTCGAGCTAATCTAATTTCCTCTTGACAATATGATTCAATTTCTACTTATTAACATTCGATTTTTTATAAAACAAAGTAACAAAGATCTTGAAATCACAAACAGGGATTCTTTTGACATTATACCCTCGGCTATTAACCGGGGAAACATTGCATATTTACCGATTTTTTTAAGTCTTGAAATTTTAGGCATAGATACTGTCTTTGATTCGAGAGCATTTAAATTCTCGAGTCAGTGGTTTTACGGATTGTCGTTCATTAGATTTTTATTGAAATGGGAATTGTTCCATCTCTATCACTAAAAGTAAAAATGATGACTGTCATCTTCAGGTCGCAGAAGCTGTTGAAAATAGAATTGCCTCAATGGTAATGAAGTCAACGGATGTTGAGCGAGGTAATACTATTTTCTACCGCCACCCAGTGACTATAAGGGATTGCGATCTATTGGATATAGTTTTCATTGGATCTTCCAGTGAAGAGAGTAGGTAACTATGACTGCTCTTATCATTCTTTGGTTTCCACGACGTTAATGCATTATCGCGGTGCACTTTAAAAGATCATAATCGAAGATATTATTTATAGGCACACCAACCACTTCTTTGATGATCATATTATCATGAATTGAAAATAATTTTGAATCTATTGTCTATAACTTGAGTCATGTCAAGTTTGATATCTCTCATTGAAGAGACTTATTCTAAATCCCTTGATGTTCAGTTGATAGCATGACGATCCAGCGGTGTACCACCTCAACTCTCTTCCTGAAAGTTCTCCCAACAGATCGCCATAAAGTCACAAAAACTCGTGAGAAGTTTGCATGCCCTTAATTGATGACAAACTCGACAATTGAATTTCCATCCCTAGGCAATCGATGATCTAAGAATTTAAATCAGCCTTAAGAGAACGTGATAGAATACAAAATGTAAAATAAAAAGCTGTCTTACGATTATGGATTAATTCAACTTTTTTCGATTTCTACCACTTCAGCTATGGAAAGTTTTCATGTAATCACGCAAGTTAAATTTCACGTATGATTGACTCTCGAATAGGATGGAGTGCACGCAGCAACTTTTGACATAAATATTAATTGGTCACGCATTCAGCATTAACTACTTTTGAGTTCTTCAACTTGTTCATTTACTTGAATTTGAAAAAATTCTCTTAACAGGTTCACGAGCAGTTGATCTCTGCGGTTGTCCACTTATCCATAGAGAAAATGTTTTTACTGATTCCTTTATGTTTCTGATAAAAGCGAGATTGAATTACTTTTCATTTAACTCATGAATATTAAGTAATCGATCAGAGCGTATTTTCAATTAAGCATTGCGCAGTTTTTCCAAAAACAAAATCACTGCGACTCTGAATCTTCACACATTTTGTATTTGTCGATTTTTAACTGCCATAAACGTGGAAGGGAATTAGATAGGTCGAGAAATTGTGGCTTTGACTCGTCAAGGGTCACGTCAATTGTGGTTCGCATCACGCGCAAAATGTCAGTCGCACACATAACGGGTGCGCATTTTTGCGCACGACCAATAAAAATTTTCAAGTTATTCATTATTTTGAGCTTTTTCCATTTTTAAACATAAATCATCGAAAGAATCTGACCCCTCAAATGAATCATCAAAATTTACTACAAGGAAGATCAGCTATGGGAAGTCGGAGTGTGATGAATCAATGAATCCTGATGCACAATCTTACATAAATTTGCATATATTTTTTAATGCTGATATATGACATGAATTTGAAAGTTCTCTGTATGTGACAGCGAGATTTTATTTATATCCCACAAATGGAAGATGTAGAATGGAAATGAATGCACTCCGTGTCGTTACAAATAACTTTGGAGTGTTTTAATCCATGCATACAGGGAATGATAGCCCTCTATTTGCTACGATACGATGGGTAATGGGGTCGACATATTTCTGGTGAGACAGCTGGGAAAGAGCACTGAAAGCTATCAATGCGCTGTGCTGTATACTACCTGCTCGGAACAAAAACCCATATAATCTCGTTATGGGCGCAGGTTCGGGAATGTACTAATATAGATATGTATATAGAATATATAAGAGGCATTTTAAGATAACATGGTCAAAATTACGATATTATTCTTTAAAATAACTTCAACCTTATCCTTTTCTGCTGATTTCAATCATTATCGACCAACCCGAACATACAAAGCTCTCTAGATATTGCTGATTTTACATTTTCGATTATCCGTCAATACCTTGTTTTCACAACTTGAGGAAAGCTATTGGGATAGGAATGCGACGTGAGAGAATAGTCTCTCATGAGAATGGGAAGAAGAAATTGGTGGAGATCCATACAGAATCTTCCTAGCGATGAAATTGATAGAAATAAAAAATTTAAAAAGAAAATTGGGTCTCAACTGTTTGTTATTTTTTGTCAATGCAGCAGTCAAAATTCTAAAATTAGGAGAAAGAAAGGTGAAACTATTGTCAATCAATCTACTTCGGGAAAAAACTATTACTGGAATCATTTGGATACACGGACCATAATTGGTTTTCCGACTATTCATCTAATCCTAGGTACAAAAATAAAAATGGGACTGCGATTTAATTTGCGAAAAGCAATTTTTATTTTAGCAGTTAACTCTCAAAAACAATACTTTATCTTGAAAGTTTCATCATCAGATTTCTCTCGGAGCTCACATTCACTGCATGGTAAAATTTTCCACTCGGTAAAAAAGACTGACCGAAATTTCCTTCACTTCCTTGTCGAAATATAATTCTACAAAATGATTTTTGCGCGCTGGATCGGTAATTATAAATAGGCGCGCAATTCTGACCAGTTAGGTATCTAGCGCTCGTAATAATTTAAAAACTTTGATAGTACTCGAGAAAACGTCGGTTTTATATATTTACACGCATCGTAAACTGTTCACACAACCTCTAGACCTGAAGGCATCAGGGTCAAGAAGATTCTCAAACTCCCTTGAAAAGTTAAGAGCGCAACGCTCGAAAAGTTTGCTCATTTTGAATTCGATAAAAAGTTTACTAGAACGTTCATTAGTTTAGTGTATTATTGTAAGAGTCCATTCAAGAGTTACCGCGTAGTGATGTGAATAGTAAACGTTTATTAAGACGATGATATAGACGTACGACTTATTATGCAGAAAATAAAAATGTAGAAATTGAATCAAAGTAATTTTTTCTATGACCATACATATATACGTATTCTCAATTCGAATTACCGTAACCGAATATTATGAAAAAAATTTTTATCATTAGCCAAAAACAATACGCTACGTACCGTTTTGCTGCAGTAATATAACAAGTAACAACACTATTAGATCCATAGCGAAACCGTTGAGTTGTTCTTGAATGAAAATTGTACAGTTTCCCAATGCTATTGTACTGCAATCATTTCTGTTGCAGTCGTCTCGTCCACACCAAGAAGAGACGGACACTTCACTTAGTTCTCTTCCAAAATGGATATCATCGAACACAATCGTCTGTCAATAAACTCTTTCACTGGTCTCGTCTTTCAATTGTGAGTATGTTCAATTATAATTGGGATACGAATCCATGCGGAATTATCAAACGCACAGCTGAAACACAACACGTAGGTACAGTGATAAGGATGTGACAATTTTAATTGGGATGGCATTGTTATTCCATTGTCAATTAAATTTAATAACTGGTCTTAGAGGGGGTCTTAATACCATGGAGGAGTGATAGTGAGTCCATACCTCTAACAATATGTCAGACCTCTTCCGCTATACATATGACTCCAATCATGAATATTACTTGGTATATAATGATTTCAGTAGTTGAATTAGTAATTAACCGTATAAAGTTACTTGAGGGCCAAGACTCCAATCAACAGTTTATTACACAATCTCTTTTTTATTGTAATATCCTCCATCAATAAACTCGATGGTTCTTGTTTTTGCTACTTAAAACATCGTCTGTACTACAAGAGAATGTACAAACAGCTTATTCGGTTCTCATACTGGGGATGGGGTAATTCCTATGGGAAGATGAGCACCTGAAATACTCGTTTGACAATGTTCTATGAAAGAGAACAATTTCCATAATTTGTATTGGTGAGTACATGCCGTATAACGTAAACTGAAGAGGTGTTATTCAACGATTAAGTGTGAATACTTTTATGGAAATAGATTACTTTTTTTACGTGAATAATTTCTAGTTTTTAATCTAAATACCATCCGTTCGAAATGATGTAATCGTGAGGGACAGCTCTTTATCGCTATTCTGTTTTCTTTTCGATTTGAAGTAATGGTGAGCGAATTGAAAAAAAAAGCGTGGCATTCAATCGCAGATTCAAGTCGAGCACACGTTTCAAACTCAGAGATTTTCAATGCAACTTGTTGCAAGCTTCGGAGGGCTATCTGTGTTGACTCTACGTAGAGCATGCTCATATTCATGTCCAGTCCAGCGTATTGCAAGTGGTTAAGATTTATCGGGATAAATGCGGAGATTGGAATTTCCTCAGGTCGGAAAGCTCAATGGATTTCATTGGTATGTATAAAATAATCATACGTTCCGAGTTTGCTTCGAAATTAATTATCAAATTTCTCAATTAACACGTTCTCTTACGAGGAAAATGAAAATTTCAGTTAATTCCGATAAATATAACGAATTATAGAAAGGGTCACAAACTTTTGTTTTGACTATACGAGCAAAACATCCTCAAAGTTGAAACTCTTCGCGATGAAATGTAATCAACTCTGAAATCAACTTTCATTGATATTTTACGTGCCTTGATGTCTCGCCCTGAACTGACATGGAATTAATTTTTAAGCATCAAATATTTTCATGACCATGAATTAAGTCATTGACAGATAATTAAAGATACACTCATCGATGGTATTAAAACCTTTACATAATTAATCAATATGCAGATACTCTGATAGGTCGCTCCATTTTGCCGCGCTCTCTAACTGCCAATGAAACGAATATCTTCAATAAAAAAGCAGCTCCGTACTGGCTTTTGGAGTTGAAAAAATTATGAGCAAAGAACCTCTTCTGACAGGTTCTTTTGAGCGTCACTAATTGCCGAGACTAAACACTGATATATCAAAATTAATCGCTTATCGTGAAAAATCTCTCAACGAAAAAAAAAAAAAATGCTTCACTTCAATTATATCCAAGGAATATCAAAGATTCATAGCAAACAATTAGGAGACATGTCTCTTAATTCCATGACCACCATGGATATTATTTAATTAAAGAAATCGACGGAGTCAGCACTTGATAACGATAGTATCAGGAAAGTTTTGATAGTACGGAAAAAATTTCGCGGTTCCCCATCTTCATGACTGAAATCATGAAATCATCCCCCGGCACGGGATATTCATTCAACTCGGTAAACGTCTATTGACACATGAGTAATAGTAATTACACCACTTGATCGTGGAATAAATCACGTCTCACGATAAAACGTTTTCAATTGCACATCACTCAATTCCTCGCAGCAATGTCCCTCTGTGTTTTGGGGGTGATTAAATTTAAGTTCTTCGCCAACTGAGTTCCTTGGAAAATCTCACGGCATATCGTGAATACGTGAGTAAATGTGAGAGAGAAGTTGGCGACGCGAGCGGTCGTTGTCGACTACGAAAGCTCCACGACGTGTTTCGTACTCAGGATATCTAACACCTGCGCGCATGCGCCCCATGCACTCCCCAAAATTTCGTCTCACACGCAATTTCTGGAAACTATCTAATTTACCAACACGCAAAGTTTAAATGCATGTACTTTTTGTTGTTACTGATTATCCACTCGGTTTTTTTTTACGCAATTCCGCATTGCACACTGAGAAAAAAAAAGCGTCCATCTTTCTTCTCTTCAGCATCAAACCACCGTCGTCTCCATCGCGATGGATATAATCATATTAGTCTGAAATTTATGACAATGACGGAAGCTATCTCAGGTATGAAGTGATGCCGGAAATTTTTTTTTTGTATGCTGAAAACTAAAATAAATCAAGTTTATAATTTCTTTATATTTCATTATTATATTTCAATTTAATTAGGGTCTATCACCTTTCATAGATAGGATTGGAATTTTCAATTATATGAAATTTGAATGCAATCTCAATTAAAAACATCACTAAAGTTCTCATTTCTCGTGGAAATTCCGGGAAATTATTGCTTGAACTCTCGGTATTCTTACGGGTTTTCCGTGTCATATAGGAACCTCAAATTTAAAGTTTAATTTTCCAACAGTGTAGCCCTTGTATTCTTACACGCCCGAAAAATAGTTTCAAATTTTCTGGGCCGTTGGAAACTCATTTCAGTATAAAATAACTCCGGAGAGTCTATTATACCTCGATAAAACTGACATTCAGCATGTTCTACTAAAGATGACTAAAATAATCCCCCTTGTTGAATTTAATGAACAAAGTTCTTAACTTCCAGAAGCTCACAGTGTGCGATAATGTTTCATCGCGATTCGATGGCGCAAGAATCAATTATAAGGAATATACTTACAATGTATAACGAAACCGAACTTTCCTATTAAAATACCTCTAAGTGCCCGAGTGAAAATCCCTTTCAGGTCATGAAATTTGATTTAGAAATTGACTCATTAGTATTCAGGTTTGGCTGATGCAGGTCGAACCAATGAAAACCAGCCGACAATTTAATTTAGTAATTCATGACGCGAGGCAGCTTGAAGTTAGATTAGATTTGCATTTACTCCCCTTGACCCCTTTTTCAATGTAAAATTTTAGAGTACATCTGATCAGTAGGATTTGATAAACTTGATAACAGCCTGAAGGGTCAGGACCAACACTAATAAACAGCAACGAGCATTATGGGCATCGCTCTACCAATCGTAGATCCCATCGATCCCAATTATTTGCGTGTAACCAATAGTAGGATTTCCTCCGATCATTCGGTTCATTTTCGGACAACCAATGCCAATTTTTCGTAAATAATTATTAAACATGAAGATCGACATGATATTTGGTTCATATCGGAGATTTAAAACCCCGTTAATGTTTCAATTAAATTACTATCGACGGATTAATATTTCATTCGACATATGGCCCGAGGTAATTTGAAATACTTGAATAAAAATTGTCATTGACTATACTTTGCGATTAAAATTTGTCATATCCATGTGATGGTAATGTACAATGTGAAAAATGAATACACATAAAAGGTTAAATAGGGGATGATCACATCCCATCACATTCAATGTGCAAAGTGCGTCTTCAAGCGCCACATGCATATTTATGATGCTTTTGTTTTTATACATAATATTACATATATCACTCATGTGGTATATCTCTCTAAGCCTCCTGAGTGAAACCTAGCGAAGATGAAATGACGGGGGCATAAGCAGAGAAGGAAGACGAAGAATCAACCATTACAGTGACAGAAAAATATACAGTCGTCCATTTTATTTATTACAACTTTATAGATCGAACCCTGTGACACGAAGAGTGAACAGAATTGAATTGCTCAATTCATGAGAAGAATGAAGTGATGATGATAATTAATTCTCTCAAGCATAGTATCTGAAAGTTTTATGTGCTAGGTAAAGGGTTATTATCTGTATAAAGTTCCTAACAAAGAAATTTTTCAAGTGAAAACTTTCTTTTTACGATTCATAAAAAAACTCTTGCACGGAAACTCACTTGGTAAATCCATTGACATGCTTAAGGACCCCTCGCGAATACGAAAACGAGCTGTAATCTTACGTTTAAACGATACCTGTAAGAAAGAAAATGATAGCCAAGAAAATGGCCTGCTTTCGCATAAACTCTTTTCACAACATATCGCAGCCTGTGAATATTATGCATCACCAAGTTACTTGGGATGAGAGCTAATGTCGTCAAAGCTTGTGCAAGTCTTTAATCAATTATGTAAATTCTCGTAGACTGCTCACTTCAACATATTCAGTAAGAGGATTGTTGGAGGACCCTTTGTCAAATTTTCCTCATTTCATATTTTTGTGGCTCGCATTTCACCGGTTTTCACCAGCCTAAAACTACCTCCACCGTCACAAGACCAGCCCATTCGTTGTTTATTAAAATTTTCAAATTAACTCGCTTCACACACATTTCGTTTGTTCCCTTTTGTCACACGGGCGGCTATTTATTACGATTCCACGGCAACCAACGCCACTATTTCTCTAATCCACCAGAGATCCAGTTCAACCACTGGACGAGTGTATTCTCAGCATACCATAGGAATGGTTAAACCCACTTCGGGAGACTCACGCTTGGAATTTCGAGAATTTTAGTACAGTTTTATATGTATATCTCACTGCTTTCCGCTTTTCATTTCAGGATGTTTCTCCCGTTTGTGTCCTCATCCTCAATTCTCCAACTGGAGAAAGTTTCCTTCGTAAATACATGCATCACGCTGTATTTTATTTTACTTATGTAACACTATTGTTGGGCTTGCCGTCCTTTTCCGTTACTGTGTATCATATTATGCCTTCAACAATTTCCCACTACCACATACTTTTAGTCTTATACTCATCACACCCACTCGGATTTAATATTACGCTGCACTTTTGCATGAGATTTGTTAAAATACAATAATTAAGCTCTGCGCTTGAAGAGTCCTCGAAAAATACAGCTGCAAGGCATAATTCAAAATTTTCTGTCAGAGAGAATTACTTGTATTAAAAAATTACTATTGTCTCATCCAATAATTATTTCAGATGATCTTGTTTGGGTGTTGATATATTCTCCAAGGGAATCATATGATGATTCTTCAGTTTTTTCAAATTTCGTATTTTCTTCAGAATAATTTCGATTAATTACTTGATGTTGATTATTATTGGGACAATATATTTACCCTTGTAATTAATACGGTAAACTTCGGGTGCAATATAATTATAATAGTTGATACCTAATGAGAAGGTTTTGTAGATGACTTTTGAGTGTAAAAATTCATTATGGTAAATTGTTGTCACCATTTGATTTTTTTCACCACTAATGTTGGTATATTGTCAGGTTTGTGAATACCGTTGACATCGTCCTTTATTCAAGCTTCAGAAGAATACATAAAAGTTGATCGAGCAACTTGAAAAATCAACAATGGTACAAGCTGACTGTATGGAAGTGAATGACGGGGCAGGTGAGTAGGGTGGAGGGAAATGAAACGGGACAAGAGAATGTGAGTTGAGACTGCCAGGGAAAAAGTCTACTGCGTGAATGTTGAAGGGAAAGGATAAAAAAGAAAGTGGAGTGTGGCCCGGGGCACAGAGTTGAACGAGGCGAGATGAAGTGACACGGGTGAGGGTGGACGGTGAATTAAGGAGGAACTTCCCCACGAATTAGCGGGAAGTATACCTACGCCGACTGCTTTCACGATCAGAACCAAGTTCTTCGTTAATCTCCTGGAAACCCCGGGGAATCCAAGGCCTGCACAGAGAGGATTCTCCACTCACTTTTCGTCGTCGTTCTATCTCCCTCCACCTTTCATCCTTTTTTCACACTCTTTTTTCATCCATTTACACTCGTTTCCGCCACTGCTCCATTCCGTCGATTTATTTATTCTCATCGGTTATATCCACATTTATTATAATATTATCGCTTAAAAATTTTATAGATTTTAACAGGAATTTTATCCACATTATATATTAATTCTGCCGATTATTTTTGTTTTGGGGCTGGGGAAATAGTATACATTTACTAATGCATGGATTGATTTAATCCTTTAAGAGTGATTTTCATGCTTGGCAAGTAGTATATTACGCAACAAGAGCGTAATGGATTTTTTGGCTGGTGGGAGGGTTGTAACACTAGCCGAAGGTGAGGTGCACAATCCCACGAGTCAAAAAATCCATAACGCACATGTTTCGCATACTATTTTATGTGATTGAATCTGCAATCCGCGATTCTACCGGACACCTATGACATGAAATTGCCTATAGGCAGTTATAGTGGATTAAATTTCTAATATTCCTCAGAGATAGAAGATTGCATTGGTCGGATTGTCATCTTTCATTAAAATTCTTTCGTTCCAACCGGTAAAAAAACTCTACCGCCACCGCAAATCAAATGGAGAAGAAAGGTTCTAAAAAAACGTCGATATTGAAATTTATTACCTTCATTAGACTCTTGTAATGTCTGCAAGAAAACCTCTTGAACAAGCATATGATTTATGGAAGGCCGCTAATGGAAATTGTCTCGGCATTCCAGCAATTGGATAGGCCCGGTGAAATTGTTTGGTATATTTTTAAGCCAAAAACATCAACAAAGAAAAGATATCGAAAAATATTTACTCATCTCTGCACGAATGGTCGATCTAAAAAGGGTTGACTGAAGTACAGGCTCAGTTCTGGGGGTTTGAGTGACCCCAGCGGCATCGTAGTACTGCACCCCAAGAGAGGGAGGGCGCCAGACGCAATGGGGGTGTCGTCCCGTCAGCCAACTCGGTAACTGCATCACTAGTAGTCCCGCTGTCAGAGTGACCAGTCAACTGGGTGAATTTTATTTTATGTGTTACGAAATTGGTATTCACTGAAATTGAAAAATGAAAAATTTTCAAAAAAGTATCAGAGGAGCAAAAAATGGAGGAGGTATTCACTGAAATTTGAAAATTCGAAATTTTTTAAAAAGTATCAGGAGAGCATG